ACGATTTTGATAGTCGACGTAATCGTGACTAGTCGACTAATCCTGGCAGCCCTAATGGAGAGTTTCCCTTTTATAAAAGTTTCACTGCCATTTGAAAGTTAATCCAAGCTAAAGAAGCTAGCTAGGGCTGCTTCAATTGACTGACGTGGACCCAACAGCCACCTACTATACAGCACCTTGTTCCAGGTGCCCTTTAACACAATCATCTTTGTGTTCTAGTAATAGAAATTCTAGTATTTGTAACTTAAGACAAACACTGAGAAACACGGTATTGCACTAGTACTGTTCAGAAATGCATCTCTCTAACCAAGCTTGCTAGCCGTAGCTGATAGCCTAGCATCCCACCCTCTCACATTAATATGGTGACTTCTGGCTAAAGATAACGTAGTAAGTTGCATCTTCTGAAACATGCTAGCTGCAATGCTGAGCCACAACCTTTACTCAGCTCATTAGTAGTTAGCCAGTGTTTGCAGACAAACATAAAAACTAGCAGCAACTGTGGCAACCTGCTGGCAACCAAAGCAACTCCTGGGAGATTTTTGTGCAGCACTTTCTTTGTAAACTCAGACAGCCAGAGCCAGCAACCTCCAGGAACCAGTTGCCAACCAGTCTGGGAATACACATCATTCCCTAGCAGCCCTGGTTGTATCACATCCTTTATGGCAGACAGCTCAGAGCAATGTGAGTCCTTTCACCTCTACTTAACAAGCTCCAAGGCAGAATGATAAACCCTCCTCTGACACTTGAAGCGCTGTTAGAGATTCAGGGCCTCCTGAAACATTTTCACTTGGGGATCTGGAACAGTAAATGTCTGTAATTCCTATAAGCCCTGTCCAGCTCCGGGCCCCTGAATCATCACACTCCACCCACCCACTCACTCACTTACTCACTTTATTCCCGACTCTCTGCTGCGTCAGAGACTTTATCACCAATAACACATTTCATATGAAAATGAGAATTCAGACCACGTGTGAGCTGCTTATAAACATTCATCTGATGCTTGAATGGTTTAAACAGATACAAGCAAACTTTAAACAGTTGTTGACTAATAGATTGTTGCATCCATGAGTTCATCCATGAACGGACCAGTGGGAAAGTTCACAGGTCTTTCTTTGGAGAAAAAAATAACAAAGCAAACTTTTTTAAACAAAGAGTTTAATTTGAAACTATTTTTAAGTGAACAAACGTTTTAAACTGAACGCGTCACAGGTTGGAGATCTTACCTGTGCCTGCTCGCCGCTCTCTGACCCGCTGGGACTGTCGACTCCGCGTATCCCAGACCCGAGCACACACGGGCTAGTACGAAGGTAAGCAGGTAAAATAAATGCTCCATCATTAAGTCCAATGTAAGTCAAAGACAAATGAAAGTCATGTAGGTCCAAAGTCTCTCCAAGAAAAGCCCGCTGGATCAGTGACGCACAGTCGGTAAATGCCGACGCAGAGCCATGACTTCACAGGATGACCCGCAGAGTCCCGTCAAGTGCATTTCAGACGCTAAACTGCGAGCGTGCTGGAGGCAGACTGAGAGTGAAGGAACGAGAAGCAAGTTTGCTGAGCTCAGCGAGCCCCATGCCAGCTCCCTCCTCCCTGCGTGCCCCCTACCCTCCCCCGTTTGTCTGTTTCGCTTTGATACTCCGTTTACTGGAAGTGCACTTCGCTTTCTACTCTGCTTCCCAAGTGTACTCATGTCGACGTGCGTGACGCTTTTCACAGTGTGTTGTTGTGTTTTTAGTAAGTAGTAAAGTTGATTTATTAAACGCTTTTCATAGACAGACAGTCACACAGAGTAAAGTTATTTTTTTAACTTAATAAACGTTATAACCAGAATACGATAGCCTCCTCTGCTCTCAGGCCCTGCGCCAACACAGTGCAAATATAACTGTAGATAGACTGTATAGAAAAGATGGCCATAACTTATCTAGATGGAGTTAGAACAACAATCTGTCCTCTGAACTGTTAAAACCACCGGTACCAAAAATATACTTTGAAATGTGTCAGTTTGGACACATTTCAAAGTATATTTATTTTAATATGTGCTCACGTTAAAATAAATCACACTGAGCTAAAGTCGAGGCTCTGAGGCATGAAACGTGCTTATTTATTTCTGATATTGTCCCAGTTACTTATTTTACTTTGTTTTACACGCTGTAACTGTACAACTTTTAGTCTCATCTTTTAAGCCTGGAATAGAAAATCGATTAACTCAAAGTAAGGATTTTATATCGTAGGCTGAAGACATCGAGCAGCTCCAGTCAAACGCACACAGACGCACACAAACGCACACAAACGCACACAAACGCACACAGACAGAAAGTAGTAGAAGCCTTGTGGATATTCTTGTGCTCTCTGAGCTTTTATTCATGCCATGATTTACGCTGCTCTTCATTTCCTGCTTCAGTTCTCTTCCTGCTATTACACGTATCCAAACTGGGCCAACATGCCCAACAGTTAAATATAGACGGCTGCGATCTCAGCAGCTCTCCTGTGAGTGACACAGGGTCCAAAGTCGGTTTAAAAACAGTCGTTTTTATTTGTACCGTGCATTCAAATGTATTTGGAAACATTTGCTGAACTCTAATCGTCAACACTCTGTGATTCAGACGAAAGAAGGGGGGAAAGGACACACTGGCTGTCATAGTCCGTGGGAGTACTGGGAGGGGTTTTCCTTCTGTGGCTGCTGAGCCATCTCTTTGGGGGCGGAGACTTCACCTGAGCCTCTTCTGCGAGCAATCAGCGGGAGACCTACTTAAGCTGACTCGACTGCTTCTCCTCGCCACTTTGTTCTACTCTTCTCGGTGGTAAATGACGTTTCCCTTCGTGGTTTTCCTCGTGTGATTTATCTCTTGGAGTAATTTCTGTCTTCCCTGTTCCAACCCTGGCTTCACCTTACTTGGACAGTCTCCCTCCCTGCCTGCTCACCCGCCTGCCCTCCGACCTCCACGCTTCAGCGTGAGACCCTCCAGACGCTTTCCACGGACCTCTCTCCCCTCAGTGATACTAAGACTGGCACAGTAAGGCAAACAGTTCTCCAGTTTCTAGTTATCAAGCTCCAGTTCTCTCTTCAGACTACAGCTACCTCTCCCTCCGTTACAGAAAATCCCCCCCCGGCTCTCCGACCTCTTCCCCATTCCTGCCACCAGCCTTATTGGGCCTCCCTCGTCACTTTAGGTCACTGTTCCAAATAAACGTCACTGTAAAGCGTTCCTCGCCCGTGTTTGTCTGCGTTTTTGGCTCCACTTTCCTGGGCGAACCTTTCGGTTCATGACACTGGGTTTGTTTGTGGTTATTCGTGTTCAGAGAGCCTCGAACAGTTTCTGTGTCCTGATGAGCAACTTTTGTGAGGCTGGTTGTAGGAGGCTGTTTTCTTTCCCTGGAGTTCTCTTGGTGTATTTCTTTCACTCACTGAAAGCTGTGCATCTCCTCCACTGCTGCCACAGAAGAATGCCCAGCTCAGCAGCCCTCCCATCAACCCACAAATGAGATCAGCTCTCCCAGCTGCGCTGCTGCAGACTCCCCACTGCGAGCAGAGCCAGGCATGCTGAGGAGCATAAGACCATAACAGGGACATGCAGCTGTACCTGCAGCTGTATGCATGATGATCAACGGATAGTTTAGGTAGGTGTGGTACAAGCTGATGCATGACTGCCATGCTTGCCCTTTTTGATGTTTTCTACCAAACTCAGCGTCCTCATAAGTCAGAGTGACAGTTAGCAAAGCATCTGCTGGGCTTGTAAAATTGGCCAGTTCTAGCTTTGACCTACGCAGATCCACACCAAACTAAATTCCTGCCAAAGAAACGCTGGAACATATTAATCAGATTGGAAGTAGAGGCCTGTGTTTAGTAACGGTAGAGCCACTGTACTTTATTCAACAGGCTCACGGCTCATTAACTGCTGCAGGCTGTAACGTTGCTACTGTAGCTTTCAAATGACCTGCTGCTGGTCTGAGATGCAGGCCAGCCTGCAGTCGAGGTGATAACAGTGAGAATGAATGAGCGGCCTGATGGCCAGATATAAGAAGAATCTGAACTCGGACTAAATGACGAGGAGCGCTGTGAAAAAGACGTTCATCATGTTGGAACCTGCAAAACACATCCCTCCCTTTGTTTACAATAAATCTGAAAGAAAGGGATTTTTCTGGACAGACAGACACGGGCGCGGTGACGCCTGTTATTTTCAGACAAAACCCAAACTTTCCCAAGATTAATTGGTAGCAATTTCCGAATTGCAAGTACGAAGATGATGAAATTAGTACCAGTTGGAACTTAAAGGTGCAACAAGTCCACGTGTCACCTGCAGACAGGTGTTACCAGCTTATCTACTGCACATTTTTACAGACTTAAGCTCACTGTGGAGTGTTTGCTGTGCATAACATACGCTAACAGTCAAAAGTCAAACTCTTGCCTGCTGCAATATCTCAGGAAGCTTTTATCCTACAGATTAAATAAAAACACAGCATGCTAACATGCTAACATGCTAACAGTGGACTCAGAGAAAACTAAACGAGACAGTAACACAGAAACTTCTTACTGCATTTATTTTCATCGCCATAATTAATGTGCTGGTTATTTTATCTTATACATCTAAGAATATACAGAATATACAGAATATATGCTCTTTTATTTCTCTGAGCTAAATGCTAACATGCTAACAAAGGAGAAATCTCTGGGGCTGAAATGTTAAGTCGGCTCAGAAGTGCCAAAAACTGCGGTTTCTCTAACGGCTACTAGACGATGACTCCAAAAACAAGCCGGTCTCCATCACCCGTATGTGTGCTGACGTAGAAAGACCCCAACAGCACACACATGGTGAAGAGGTCCAGTTCTAACAGAGGTTAGGCCACAGAGGCTGCAGCTGGCTGAGAGTTAGCTATTAAATAATAACATTTTGCTAAGTAGACTGACCAAAAAGCTTTGATTTAGTCCAGGTGAAGGTGTGTGCGTGTGTGTGTGTGGGGGGGGGGGCTTTCTTGGTTCAAAGCTTTAAACTTTTAGAGAAAAAGATTTTCAGAAACATCAAATAAGAAAAACTGGACATGAAGTAACAGGTCACGGTTGAGTATTGTAGGAATCAAAGCCTTTTATTACCACAGCTTTTGCTCCTGGTAGCCTTTAAAAAACAAACCAGGTTTAAGCCGTGGCTCAGGGGGTCGGGATGTAAGGTCGCCGGTTCGATCCCCTTGGGCAAGACACTTCACCCACCGCCTACTGGCGTTGGCCAGAGGGGCCGATGGCGCGATATGGCAGCCTCGCGTCTGTCAGTAGCCCAGGGCAGCTGTGGCTGTAGCTGCCTCCAGTGTGTGAACTGTAAAGCGCTTTATGAATGTGATCCATTATTGAGCCACTTGGATTAATTTGTCTTAATTTACCTGAAAGCTTCATTTCTATCTTCAAAATGTTCACTAGCTGACCTTACATTACTCAGTGAGAGTAACTATTCTGAATACTTTGGATTACTTAATATATTATCATCTTTTTACAACTACATGAATGTGATTTATTACTGTTACTGAAGGTTACTCTCCACACCAACACCAGCTAGATGCTAAAATCAAATGAGTAACAGTAGGTGGACATTAGGTAAGGCTGCACTTTTTGCAGCGATCGCGTATAGAAAACTATTCGTATATAAAACAGGTCCGCGGCTCCGAACCGTAGTAAAGGGACCTCTGGCTAATACGGTGGGTTCTGTGTCGGCTCGTAGCTGAAAACTAGCTTTACTTTGTTGTCTGGGTCAACTTTGCTAGCAGAGACAGAGAGAGGCGTTGAAAGGCTGCTCCAACAGAACTTATTGTTTCAGAGGAAAACACGAACACGGTGTACAGTCGAGTCTTAATAGCTTACTTACAGCTGGGCTCGTCAGGCTCTCTTCTTGGCTGCAGTGGTTATTATTATATTTACATGCTTCCAGCTCCCGTTTCTGCTCGATGACAGCTCGTACTTTTCCTTTTTCTAAACATGTAACAGAAAACCCAAAAACCAAGTCCAATCAAGCCGAGCTGACTGAGGAACTGGTGGACGGGGCTGTAAGAACGTCGAGCGTCTCTACACGTCAATCCAAAGAGAACATTTCCATACATGTTATTGTGGAGCCGTACTGATAGCGATGCTACTTTTTTCCCTCCAGGGGTCACGAAGCTTGACCTTTCTCTGACCCTAACACTGTTTCTATCTTTCATATAGACGCTTTCTGCCGTCTGTTGCTGACATGCTGAAAGTTGCTGATGAGCCTCTTCTTCTTTCCTTCCTCACATTTTGCTTCATTTCACAGGAATCTGTGGCGCTTTCATTGGTTTGTGTGGTTGCCCTGCGAGGCTGCCTTTGAAAAATGCGACTGGACGACGCATCTTTTCCTTTCCTGTGGTTTTAGATTAATTGCGTCTTTCTTACAGAAGACGTTTGGGATGTTCTTGGACGGACTGGAGCTGTGCGGCGCTCGCTGCATGGGCCGTTGGACTCTTGACCAAAGCTCTTTGGGGAGATTAACATTCCTGTGGGGAGGGGGGACCACTGCATCACTGCCATTATAAATAGG